ATAAAATCTATCCTGTACAACATTCTTTTCGTTACTCCAAGTTACTGTGAAAAACTCATAAGTTTTTCTAAGATTTTTATTTCTTTAATTTTGTCTATACATATTTTTTTTCAATTTTTTTAGATAATTGCATGAGAAACAGGGTTTCTTTTTGCTACATTAATTCATTTTTTTTGGTGAATATGACTCAAATTAGAATAAAATATCAAGTAATTACAATAAATGCAATTATAGGCAGTAGATTGAAATTAGCTTTTTTATTATAATTAAAAGTATCACAAAATAAAAAAAGGATAGGAAATTAACTGATGGTACAAAAAATTCAGAATTATTATTGCTTCTTTCTTTTCATTTCAGTTTCCTAGGTTTCAAATTTTAGATGAGCAATAAGAGAGATAATAAAAACCCTAATTCTTAAGAAATAAAAAAGCATTTTTTCATACTCACAAGGAAATAGAAGTAACCAAATGATCATTAAGTTATATTATCTTATCTGATAGGTTTCAAAATGCAACCTCATTTAATTTATTGAAAATGATGATAAGTAATGTTAAAGGTTTCTATCACATCATTCTATTATGGAATGATTTATGGAAAATATTTTAGATCCAAATAGGAAATTTAAAAGAAGTAGAAAGTTATATATAGATATTATATACATTTAGTTTTTCTGAATGTGATCTTTATTGTGCCAAAATAAAAGGAGCATTTATTTCATAAAAATATACAATCAAGATAAAATGTGTAATTAAATATAAATTTTAAAATAGTTTTATTCATCCATTCAAGTTCAAATATATTGTTTTAAACTTGTAGTGGATGGCACTTGATATTAATATAGTTTTTTCACATATTTATTCATTAATTAAATTTTAATTTTAAGTTTATTCTATGTTATTTCTGACAATGTTAGAACTAGCTGCAACACTGGCGCCAGTAGGTTTCTCTAACGAATTTTTACTTATTGTTTTTATTCATCCATTCAAGTTCAAATACATTTTTTTAAACTTGTAGTGTATCACACTTGATTTCCAGACAGTTTTTTAAATATTAATTCATTTATTAAATTTAATTAGTAAAATAATTATTTTTACTTTGTTCACTAAAGTAGGAATTGACTAAATTTTATTTGTATATTACTCGTTTTTTTATCAAATATAATACTGAATACAATTAATGAGACATTGTAGAATGCAATAAAAATTTAAATACCAACTTGTTATCTATAATGAATTAGACTTATGAAATTATACTGCTTTTAAAACTTAAGAATTTCAGTAGCTTTAAATTTTTTGATTGATTGAAGTAAAGATAATTTTTCAAATTGCTATGTTTTAAAAGTACTATAATTTTTTTTCAAGAAATTGTGTATTGTTTTTACATGTCTTGCCTTTCAAGTTAATTGAAAGGCTTTTCTATAATTAATTATTTTATGAGATAATAAAACAACATTTTTATTTTCTAAGAAATGTTAATATTTTTATACGAATAAAATTTCTATGGTATAAATATTATTAATACTATAATGGCACTGTGACGCAAAAAGCTAAATTCGGCAAAGTGAACAAATAATAAATTAATAAACAAACACACAAACACACACACATACACACACACACACATATATATATATATATATACAATCCAAAACATAAAAATACACATATAGTTACAACCTAAGATAACTATACCAAATATGAAAAAATACGCACATTAGTACTATAACAAACTCCTAGCCTTAGGAAATAAGATTGCAGGTTTAAACAAGATTTTAGGGCTAGCCAACCTTCACCTGTAGTTTGTCATACTACGTACCAAGAGGAAAAGAAAGAATAACATTTGGAGGAATTTAAACATTTAATAATATCACTAAACTAATAAAATATAATTATAAAATTATAGCCTACTAGTATTCACATTAAAGATTTAAAATCGATGCAAAACCTAGATAGCAAGACTTACTTCGGGAGTGTATCATCTGGTTATGTTACCCGCCAAATACAAGAGAGGGAAAACAGTTCCGCATAAAGTTAAATTGTGATAGAAAGAAAAAATATAAACTGTATATGTATATAAACTTTTAAAAAATCATAAATAAATATTGATATAAATATTAGTGTAAAATATAAATTAATCCTAGAAATATTTAAATATTATTGAATTATAAAACATGTGGCACCATCTATTTAATAATTGTATAATTAGTTTAAAAAAACCGTAATGTCAATAAGTTATTACTACACATTTTATATCATTAAGAACTATTAGAAATATAATTGTGAAGAAAGTTCGCAGGATATCCATGTACTATACATTTTTTGATAAAGTTATTAATGTTTAAATAAATATTAGCTTTATCACTAACTAAAACATTATTGCGATAAATATAGTTAAAAAAATATTTCTATATATAGCTATTGATTGATAATATAATATATATATATATATATATATATATATATATATATATATATATATAAACATTTCCTGTATTAATACTAATTTTAAAATAGATATATAATATTTTTGTTTCTCCCCTAACTCATACTCAAAACAATTCTCGCTCATCTTGCGTCAAAATTTGCTCCCCTTCATTCACCAAGGGTTAAGATCTCGGAATCCCAAATAAGAACTGTCTTCGTTATTTGTGAGAGAGAACCTTTGGAATGTGATCCAAGTTACGGGAAAAGCGTATGCAAATTAAGTTAGGAGTCAGCGTTCGGTTACAATTTGGGGAAATCTAATTTTCTTTATTTCTTGTTAGGCGTTAACTGCTGTTCTTTTCTGAGACGGATAGGTTTTTCATTTTTCCCCCTTTCCTTTCATCTTTGTTATTTTTGTCTGTTATTTGAGTAGGAATGACTAAATTTACTTAAGAAGTAAGTAAGGGCTCAAAGAATATTACGCAATGGTAACTGGAAATGTGATGTACGGTTTCAATTATCGCAGTGTAGAATGCTTTGAGAAATCAATTATACTTACGTCAAAGTCATGTAGTCGCTAGAAAAAACCAGGAATTAGTTTGAATTCCTAAAATTTTCGTTTGTTTGCATGTTTTAGATCAGAAACGAAATTCTTTAATTTAGAATTTCCTTCATGCTTGGAGAATAAAATGATTTTAATTGTGATGTAATAATTGATGTAGTTTATTTCATAAACTAGTTTTATACGTGCGAAATTTTAAATGCAATTGTAATATATTACTATATTATGATACATACAAAAACAAGCATGGAAAAATTTATGAAGTATCGATGTATTTTAACATTCTTTAGACGTTCACTAATGTATAATTTACGTTATATATATTTTTTATAACTTAACATTTAAAATAATCTCAAATAGGATATGATTACATTAAAACATTTAAGCAATCATTTCTTATATTGTACAATTATAAATTGTTATTTTTTTAAGTACAGAAGTGTATAATGCCTTAAACTAAATGCATACATTTGCAGAATCGAATATTTGATTATACTAATATTAACTAATCATTTTTCCTACACGTAACAGCTAATAAATTAATTTAATTTTGATGTTCATTAATACAAATTGCATTACCGAATGTTTTAATACTAATCACTTCTGGCAGAACAAAACAGCGGTTAATTGACGTTCACTAATTACCTAAAGTGATTCAGCAATAGTTTAGTGTACTCTTAATTATTAGAAATACCTTTGATCGCCCCCATACTTTAAATGTACTGCGTTGGAGCGAGCTAAGTGTTTTGGAGTAGAAAAAATAGCTAGTTGAAAGCGCTTTCTCTCACTTGAACAAATATTCATTCTACAAGTAACAAAATTATGTTCATGATGATTATATTAAAATAAAGTATTATATGTGTTTATTGTTTTCTAATACAACAGTATTTATAAATATTAGATAAATAAATGTAAAGAATTAATATCTATATAGAGCATGACAAATTTTGACACAAAAATATTTTAATTTTTTTTATCCAAATATTAAAATGAATGAATTAATTTATTTTTAATTTCTCATACGACTTAGACAATGAGAAAATTTTTACGAGTATAATTTATCGGCTCATTGGATTTTTCTTTAATGTTGATACACATTTAAATTCCTTACGTATTTGTTAAACACTGTTTTTATATTGCTTTTAGTAATGAAGGTTCTTTAAATTTTTGAAACAATTTTGATAAGTATTACACTATATTTATAAAAGTAAATTATATTAATATCATAAAATTATGCTTAATAAATTAGGTTTACGGGACCACATTGAAACTAACAATTTCCATTTTAATATTTGAAATCTTTACCATGTATCAAATTTTATTTATATTCAAATCATAATTTTTATTACTTTAGCAAATGGAAACTAATTAAAAAAACATTGTCTCACCAACGCCATTTGTTATAATTAAATCTAGATTTTTTAAAAAATTATTCTTGTATTTCTACATTTTTTTAAAATTTTTATTCTGGGCTAAAACGGTAAAAAAAACACTGGTACGTAAGAAATACATTTTTACATAAACAGCATATACTAAAGTTAACGTATTTTCTAAAGATATGTGTTTTTACATAAAAAAATCTGACAATTAATTAATAATTTAATATAATTTATACAGGGCACACAAATACTAATTTATAACCTCAGCGAATCCTAAACAAATTATAACATTGACACATAATTTATTTTAATGTTGAAAAATGGATTTGACTTTTCATTAAATAATGAGCTCTTTTACCACAGCTCTGTCTTTAGCATGTTAGGAGAGGGGGGTGCCAGCTCAGGTGTCATCCACGTCACTTGACCATGGTTCAAAATTACGTGGTCCGTCGCCAATAGCCCTCGTGTAGCTGAACAGTGTGACGTTAATATTAAATCAGATCAAATCAAATCTGTTTTCAGCATCATTCAACCATACAAAAGTCGTTAGTAAATATCGTCACTCCAAATGGAAAAAAAATAATACTTATCCCATTTATATAATAAGAAAACATAAAATTGTCGTCAAACGAATGTGTTTACTTAGTGTAGTGGTTAGCACGTGCGTTTCACGCGCGCAAGGTCTCCGACTTGATCCTGGAAGGGAACAAGTATTGTGTTTTGGGAAAACAAATAGTTTTTTTTTCTTTTACCTAATCAATTTAAACATTTTAAATGAAAACATCAATTGTTTGAATTTTAATAGAAAGTTGGGCTGATACATTAACAGTAACATAATTTTGAAGAAAAAAGGTATTTTTTAAGTAATATTTTGAGGCCATTTCTGCTTTACTACAATAAATATTACTTGCACTTAAAAATTGCATCACTTTCAGAAATGTTCCAAATTACGAGGTCCATCGCCAAAGGCCCTCGTGTAGCTGAATAGTGTGACATTAATATCCACTCAGATTACTCGTTCGGAAATATTCCTAAATTGAATAATTCATAATATTGTAATGTATTAAAAAGAAAATTGGTACAGTTTCAAGCAATTCTCAAATAGAAAAATTCAACTTTCTTTAAGTTTTATCGCGCATTAATATTACACATTATAATACATAAGTAACTACAGTATTTTTTTCATACTAAACATTATATTTCAATATTTTGAACAGTTTTATTTGCAGCAAACCATAAAGTTATTATTGTGTGTTCGGATCCTTTGTTTTCACTTTTCATGTTATGAAATATATTCTATATCAATTCAAAATTTTTAAGAATTTTTTAAGCACAAAAAAGTTACAAATACATAAAAAAGCATGCCTTAACTGTCCTTTTTAAAATTATCTGTATACTTCATCCATTATTATATTATATTTTGCTTTTGTTATAATTGTTTGTTGTTATATATTTGTTTGCTTTTGTTTCGTGTAAAAAAGGAAATACATGAATGTAAGAAAAACGTAAAAAAATAGCATTTTTTTCCTTTCAAATAATTATTTTACTATTTTTTAAATCAAATTTATTTCCAAATTCAGTACTTTTCTGGCCAAACGGAAAAGAGTTATACCAACTTTAATTTTTAATACCAGCATAATTCTAACTAAATAAAATGATTCTTATTAAATGTATTGGCAGTACAAAATAACTCAGATATGTGGAGAAAAAAATGCCTTAAAAATAAATAATGAGATTGGTTTCGTTTAAATTTAATAGGATCAACACTGAAAGTATTATAACACAGTCAGTTATCACAGTTTATGAGTTTTTCCTTAACATTATAATGTTTCATTAAGAAATGATTTTAGACTATATTTAGTTTCCATAGCAGAGATTCCAACCTCACTGAAAACAATTTTAATGTCTTGGACAAATATGATACAAATAAGATTGACATAAACTAATTGCATTCATACATATAATTGAACTACGGTAATATTCGAAGATTTTAGGATTATTCAAATCTCTTTCGTTCTCCTATTTACAAGTGGAATACATCCATATACATTATTCATCACAAATCAAATATAGTTAGTTTTCAAAATCATTTCTCCGCTTAATGTGAAGCTATAGGATCTTGAATTAATAATTTTAGCTTATTTACGCCATTTTTCTCAACTACAAAATCATGATATAGTGAAACTCATCATTGACCAACATTTTTCTCATTTAAAATATAAATATTTAAAAGAAATAATCAAATATTATATTTATTTTTAAGATAACTTCGATTAATGTAATTTTGGAATACTTTGAAATGGTTGATGAGTCACATTATGACGAACAATATTTGAGGAAACATGTTTGATATCCGTGCATGGTGCTAAAAGCCCAATATTCAAACCTAGTTAATTAATAAGGGGATCTGGATTCATTATTCAAAAGCGAGTACTTACCTTATTTACTCGAATCTAAGCCGTGTTATTTTTCCAATGTTAATGCTACTGAAAATCGGGTGCGGCTTAAAAATTAAGGCAAAATAATTCATTGGATGAGGAAATTGAATTTCCACCCCTTTAAAAAGGAAAAATGTAACCGTCCATTCTGACCAATTGCATTGATGACTTATCTCATTAGGTAATTTATCCCCAGTATTCGGTATATTCTATACGTCATTTTCTACACATATTTAGGTTTTTTTTGTATACGCTTTCTTTTAATCAATTAAACATGAAACATGTCTGTAAGGATCTACTGCCTGCACCTGGCAACAGGTCGAACGAAACACACGATATAGAGAGAAAGACCTGGCAACGAGAGGAGAGAAGTCGGAACGAGGGAAAAAAGCAAAGCGGTGACGAAAAAACGGTGGTTGGATAAAGAGGATACGGCTGGACGATGTATTGTAATCTTGTAGCATCTTAATATATTCCTTATTTTAAGAAATGTCCCGTAGAAGGTGTGGAATAAAAAAGAGGGACAAAATACTGACTGCAATTATTTTCTTTTCACGTCCAGCCGTATCCTTTTTATCCGACCACGTTTTTTTCGCCACCGCTTTCCTCTTCTCCCTCGTTCCGACTTCTCTCCTCTCGTTGTCAGGTCTTTCTCTCTATATCGTGTGTCTCGTTCGACCTGTTGCCAGGTGCAGGCAGTAGATCCTTACAATGTCGTTAATAGTATCAAGACAAATTCACTAAAACGCAAGTATGAAAAAGGGAGCCATTTTATATGTAGAAAAAAAATGGAAACAGAGAGCAGCGGTCATTTCAAAGTTGACACGGTTGGAACAAATATAAGTCGATGGTGTACAAAATGATATAATTTTTGCCTGTTCAACAGGCTTTAATAATTGTTTTACATACTTCAATAATACATTTTTTTTAAAAAAAAATTACACAACAAATGCATTGGAAGACGACATCTTGCGGAAATTGCGACGTATCATTAATTCGAAAGCCAGCTGTGGTAATAGGAATGTCGAATCATTTTCGAAACATGATACTGATAGTTAGAGTAATTTTAGGTTCTTGTATGTATCTTAAGTTTTTAATACTTGTAAAATAAAAAAAAATACTTATAAACTTATTATTTCTCATTTTTTGAAAATTTCTTAGGTATCGGTATACTTACTCAAGTTACAATTTTACACAATGTTTTTATTCTTTTTCTCAAAATTGTGTGGAGGATTGGAAAAGCAGCTTAGAATCGATGGCAATTTTTCTTCACAAAATTATGTTGAGAATTCGGTGTATGGCTTGGATTCGAATAAATATGGTATTTCCAATCCGTAAGCTCCACATATTTATTACAAGTCCCAATAGCAAATTATTTTGTCTTAAATTGCAATTTACAGTTTGCTGTCATTGGTGCACTGCTAAAGAAAAGTGAAGTCTTTGAGAATTAGTACAGTGCTTCTCAAACTTCAACTACTGGCGACCCAATTTTCAATCATAATTTTTATCGCCCCCCCAAAATAACAATGTATTGAATGCAATAATAATGCATTTGGGGTGTATAAGCTACAATACGATAATAATTATAAACCGTACAAATTAACAAGATAAGTATTAAATTTTGTATATGTTATTTTTAAGTAATATATATATATATATATATATATATATATATATATATATATATATATATATATATATATATATTGCTTTTTAGTTCGATTCACTATAAAAGCGTGTTTTTTTAATTTGTTTTTAAACTATAATTTATTTTATAATTATTTTTACTACACACGATAAAAATCCCAATTCCAGTGTATAATTAAATTAAGAGAAAATATACTTACCTACTTTCAAGGACTTTTTTGATTTTTTCAGAAAAAATCCAATAAAACTAATGAAAATGTTCCAAATCTGCGTGCCCTTAATAAAGGACATAAAGCATGTTCATAGAAAATATTTTTGAACAAAAGTGGTCGCGCACAGAAATCGATCCAAACTAGTAACTTGATAGTAAAAAAAAAGTTTGAAACTCCCCAAAAAAGAGGGCGAAATGCGATAAATTCATTTTAGTTCCCATTAAGACTGCCTTATTGGAGGATACTCTGCCAAGGTCATTAGTAACAATAAAACAGTTTTCCCAGAATTAACGATTTCGTGAAAATCAGATGATTCTGCGTATCGCACGACCGATCCCGTGATAAAAGTATATTCAAAAAAACATATGGATATTAGTTCTAAAACAGAATTGTGTAAAAAAGGTTTTCCGTTATGCATTGTATGTTGACCAAATAATCCTGCAAAGTATTCAATATGCTTATCCATATAGCATATAACTCATTTACATGAAAAAAGCAACATAAAATATTATTTACAACTTTCCTAAAAGAAAAACAGAAGGAGTGAAACATACCAGTAAGTTTGAAGGTCAAACACATGATAGTCAAAAGTAGCATTTTAGGGGTTAAAAGAAACGTAATAAAAAAATCTCACATTGTGTGATTACAGTAAAGAAAACAAAATGTATTTTTTTATTTGGTTATAGGATCAAAGGTAGCTAATAAACGTTTGAAATGGAATGTTTTATTTTTGATGATCACCAGATGATATATATAAATTATATCAGTGTAATTGTGCATTTTTTATTAAGTCAGGAAGCGTTTTGTTTTACTTTATTCCAAAAAATTGTTTTTTAAACCTTTTATTTTCAATATGCTCGCGCCCCACAGTTTGAGAAACACTGAATTAGTAATCATAGATACATGTATCCATTGTGCTATTGTAGAAATAAGATCATATCCAATTTAAAAATATTCCTAACACAGAATTTCATGTTTTTTCGAATGTGCAAACACTTAATTGCAGTCATAATGGACTTCCTAAAAGTATTTATATGTGTAAACATCGGATATACGCCACAATATATAGATTAATTTGTTTGTTGAAGATATTCTCACAAAGATTCAGAAAATCTGTGGCACTTTATTTGGTTTCATTGATAGTAAGATGAAAGAAATAATAAACTTGGGTTTCGGATTGTACCAAATGTATCGAAATACATTTATAAATGTATTTCAAGAAATATATTTGAATATATTTTTCAAAATAAAATTAGGCTCTTTTAGTTTTATTTAATCGTAAAATACATAACAGTGTATATATATATATATATATATATATATATTTAAACATTATTATTCGAAACTTCAAGAAATCTATAAATGGAGAATAAACAAAGAAATCCTAGAATAGTTTTAAGCACTTCTGGGGA